ACGACAAAGAACAAAATGGGCAGACCACGTTATCAGAATGGATGAAAACCGTTCCGCAAAAGGAGTTTTCAATGCCAGACCAGTTAGCAGGCCGAATTTGAGACGGATAGATGGCCTAGAAAAAGACCCTTTAGTCTTAAATTGAACAATTAATTAAAAACTGGAAAACGCTACCAGGAAAAAGGTTGGCCCAGAAAAAACTTTTGAAAAAGCCAAGGCCCACCCTGGGCTGTTGAGCCATTGATGATGATGATGTTCACAGGTTGCATTTGGTGTGTACATGAAAATAATGGTTATACATTTAGAAGTAACGAAATGGGTCAGAATATCAAAGCAAAATAGAATCCTCTTATTTCATTCATTTCGCATTGACGTTACATTTGTGCCACTCCTTTTTTTTCAGTAGGGGAGAGTGGGGTCAATTGTAACATTTTTTACTTAACTATTTTTAACTAACAAAAAATCCAATATATTATTAGTATTAATTGACAGACGAATAAAGTAGACTATCCTCTACTAGAAAATAAATATATACCTTATTTTAAATGTTATTATATTAGTTATTAACAATTTTTGACAGTCGTGCAGTTGTTACAATTGTCCCCACTTACGGGGTCAATTGTAACAGTTCATAAATTCAACTAAAACATAGTCAATTAGTATATATATTATCATAGTTGTGATATATTTTTTTATTGATCAAAATAGTAGTGATATTTTAGGAGGAAAAATAGTAAAAATAATTATGAGCAGAGACCTAAAGGGCTTTTAACTTTAAGGGGTTAAAAATTTTAATTTATGCTGTGAAAGGGAACAAATAAAATAATGCACATGCAACATAATATGAATGATATAGGAAACTATTGGTGGTTCTTAAAGAGTTAAGTAATGGTTTGTAAACATAAGATTATTTATTTTCAGCTGTTACAATCGCCCCTTTACTTATTGTTACAAACGTCCCCATGACGCCATTTCAGCTTCATTTGTTAAAAACAATGCTAGTTAATTAACAAAACTAATTTTTTTTATTGAAATGTTAATTAAGGTGTTCACTTACATATTCGGTTAATAATTTTTATTTGTTTAAATAAAATTACTTTGCTATAATATAATATTCTAATACCAAAAAAAGCACTTACGTAGCGTGAAAATATCTTTTGTTATGTAACTCTTTCAAAAGTACATAAAAATGGTTGCCAGCAGGTGTGTACATGTAGATTTATTAAATACACCTTGTGCGCCACCTAGGAATCAAATCTAGAACCCGACACTCGAAATTTTTGCTCTGTTACAATCGTACCCTGTTACAATTTACCCCACTCTCCCCTACTGTTTTGTAAAAAGTGGTAGAAAATTGGAGCTTAAGCTAAGCTGATATTTTCTTATGTTACTACCACTTTAAGAAATAGTGCAAGGACATGATAAGTATTGAATAAAATATTTCGCAACAACGAATAGTAAGTGATCAGAATAATGAAAACTGATGTTAGTTCCGTAATTGCAAAGTTCGTGAAAATCATTTTGATACGAATTATCGAAACGTCCACGAACTAAACTTAACATACTTAAAATGATAGCTTCACCTTAATAAATTTCAGAGTTGCCAGCTCCGCTTTGTTAAAAAATATTTTTAATTGTAATGAGATTTATTTTTAATTTAATATTTTTCATTTTAAGTAGTTTTTCAATCACTATGTATCAAATATTCAAGGTATCATATAAAATGCAACTTTTGTGCAATTATTACGTAGTCACGCTCGTAAAAAGCAAGCTGTTGTTGTTGCTGTTGTAGTTCATTTACGTCGCACTGGAACTGCACCATGGGCTATTGGCGACAGTTTGGGAAACATCCCTGAGGATGATCCGGAGACATGCCATCTAAATTTTGATCCTCTGCAGAGGGGATGGCACCCCCACTTTGGTAGTTTGGCGACCTGCACGCGAAATCGAGCACTTTACGGTAGAACAGTTTAACGAGGACAATATACCGCACACCCTCGGTCCCTACACAGACTGATTCAAGTGGTCACCCAACCTCACACTGACCGCAGCCGGGGATGCTTGTCTTCGATGATCTGCTGGGAACTGTGTCTTAACGATCATTCAACTGCGGGACGGTAAAAAGTAAACTTAATTATCCGTATTCAACAAGTTTTACTGATTAATTCACTACCAATTTATTGAAACGTTTGAAGAAAGCGTAGCAGTTGGCATCTCTAAAATTTAAAAAAAAATTAAATAATTGAGCTAACAATTTTTTTCCCCAAAAAATTACTCAAAAAAGAACATGAGACAGTAAAAATGCAAACGTAGTTTTATATCATTTTTTTTTCTATTTTAAAAACAGTTAAGAAAAATTCGATCGGAAAAAATGACGGCTAATCATTATAGAGAAAATTGAAGTAATCCAATTTCTAAATTTACAATTCAAATTGCAAGTATAAAATTGAGGTTGTTATGGTTATATTTATAACATTTCGGAGAATTAGCTGAAAATCGCATCACAAATAGTTTGAAGAAAGGGCGATTTAGGTTGATTATATTCTTCTTCTTATGGGAGTGAAAAGCGAAAGCGGTCGTTTCCATGCTCTGAAGCATGAAATTGTTGTGCTACACCATATAATTTTCTCAATACATAATTAATTTAAATCAAACTTGAGAATATGAGTCGAAATCTTTTATGAATATAAAGCTAAAAATTCTACCCAATAACCTCAATGAATATGGAGGAACTTAAACGCAATCCAAATTTATCTGGAAAAAGGAGAAAAAAAGAAAGGATTTACTTCTAAAATTTACAAAAACGAACAACAATGTAGACCAAGCATTCAGTTTTGAAATGAATTTAGTGCTCAAATTCAGCACAGATAATATATTTTTTTAATTTTATCTTATTCCTTTTAATCTGTATTCGCAGTGTTCTATAAACAATTAGAAACTGATGGTTATAGTCAGTTTATTTTATACAAACAAACAGAATTTTAATTTAATTTTAAGGTTTGCAAAATGCAAAATTTTTATTTTTCACTTAAATTTATTAAATTTTAATTTGAAAACTCAATAATATTACTTAAACTATTAATATGCCGAAGTAGTTAAAAAATTTCGTTTATTCCTATTATAGGTGAAAAATTTCTTAATTCTCCTACACTATTTCATTTTTAGAAAGACTCTGCGATCACTGCTTTTAATTCATACAATGTATTTTTTTTTTATAAATAATGTAGCTCATAAAATTCATTTTTTCAAATTAATTGTTCGAATTCTTCATTTACTTTAATTAATATTAAGATAATCATCTCCAGAATTTTTATTTTTAGTCTCATTAGTATGTATACAAAGATAATTATTAAACCAATAAACACAGCGTCCTATAAAAAAATTAAAATTTGGTAATCAATTTACGTGTAACGATAACAGGTTTTCACTCCAATTTAAATCATGAACATTTTCTCGTGCTCAAAATATTATGTTTCTCCTCATGAAAAATATCATGATTCTCCAGACATTTTATTCGTTCTATTCTTATTTAATTTATTTTTCTTCGCGCAGTGCTCATACGAGAATCAGACATTTTTTTTTATTCATTTTAAAATGACAAACGAAAACCTTTATTGCTTCTAAACTGTTCTCACCAGAATGCGATAAAGTAGTTGAATTTGTTTTTGTTCTTTTTATTATTTGCGTTTTATCCAGGAAAAAAAGATTGCGGTAAGTTGAGTATCTAGCAACTACGCGCTACGTTTTAGCAAAAATTGAAATATACTTTTTCACAAACGAACTAAAATTAAATTAAAAAAATTCCTCAAAAAGAAGAATATAAAAAAATCTGAAATGATAATAGTGAGATTTGGCTCTTTCTTGTTGAATCCCGCACTCTTATCAACGATTGCTCCATTGTAGTTGCTACAGAACAATCTCAGTTCTCTGCTAAGATTGCACCGAACATATGTCCGCGAAAGTGCCAAATGCTACTTGAAAGTGATTATATCTCTATTCGAGAGATTTGGCACTTTTAACGTACAAATGTCCTATACAGAATAGTTGCTACAAAGAACTATATCAGCTATCCCAGAGAGATTTGGTACTCAAAGAACTACAGCCGGACTTCTGTTCAACGAACTTCCATTTTGCAAATTTTTCTATTTTGCGTTTTTATTTTATTTATTTTGCTGAGGAACCAAGAATATTTTGGAAATTTCTTAGTAAAATATCTTTTAAATAGAGAAGTAAATTTTCTATTTAATGAACTTTTCTTTGAGATTCACTTACTCTATTTCCCCAAATAATTCAGAATATTTCAAACTTGTTAACCCATTTTATGGGGAAAATAACCTTAAATTGAATTTCTCAGCCACTTAACTTTTAACACTAGAAAGACTGAAACTTAGTATATACCTATATTGCCCAAAAGCAGTCAAAATGACTGGATTGTGAAAGAATAACTAANGATTTAGAGACGTCGTTAAATAGAGGTCCGACTATATATCATGTCTTTTACAGAGCTTATGTAGAACATATGTATTTGAACGTGCGGCATGCTTTGTGAAAGTGCTAAATCTCTTTTCATTAGTGAGATTTTGTACTTGCACGTTGAATGTCGCACTTTCGCCTGATAAGCGTAACAATATCGGTTCCGTTATTGTTCGTATCAACACGCGAAACAACACGTTCCGCGCAAGCTCTGTAGACAGACATAGGCCCAGCGTCCTACCAATCAGGCTAACCTCTTCTTTATCTATAGGAGACAATTGGCAGTTTCAGTTGGCACTTCCACATTTTTATTTACGTATGTCCTGCTGAAACAATTGATATTAGAACAATCTCGGTTCTCTACAGAGCTTGCGCGTACGTGTGGAACACATTTACGCGAACGTACGGAATGTTGACTGCCGTCGGAGTCTAAAAATCCCACAATGCATCATTTTGATTTGTTAATAAAATTCTCAAGTCTTGATAATATTTTGCACTCATTAATATGCTACTGTATTTTTTTTCAGGTTGATCTTGATTCTACGAATACATTACAGCTGAATTCAAAAAATAATTATTAAAATGAAATCATTTTATTACATACAAAGTAAACAAAGCAGGTCAATGTGATTCACCACCGAAACCAAGATGCACCGACTGTGGACGTTCGGAACTTGAGATTATTACTAACCAGCTGAAGTACTTTCGAACCTGGCATGATGTCCTTAGTGCAATGGCACTTTACCTCAATAAAAACCAAGGATTGGCAATTCAATTAAAAATGCCTTTTAACTTGAATCTAACAGACACCGAATCCAAGGACTGCCGATTCATTTTCAAGTGAAATGTCCTTTGATTTGGATTTGACGGCCAGATTCCAGGTCAAGTACCTGGGATCTGTGTCCTTTGTCCGGAAGAAGAGGCAACCACTCAAAGGAATAGTGTCCCTGCAGAGGCCGTTGCTGGACTTGTATACTGGTGCCCGTCGAAGAGGCGAGAGTCATCGTAGTATCCATCCTTTGGCTCTGACTCAACAGCTTGAGATATGTGACTACGGCCTGGTGGTCGCGGAAGGGACTAACCGTGGTGAGACAGTCATTACCAAGGTCATCACACCTTTGTCGAATGTCATCTTGTGGGCAGCTGTGAGATTCCATGCGAGGATTATAAAGAAAAGGGTGAGTCGATAAATCATATTTGGCACTTTTTAGAGCAGCTGGTATTCGTTGTTGGTAGTTTTTCGTTTCTCAATCAAACCGTATATCCTACTAGAAAAAAAAATTTAAAAAATTGAATAAAAATTTTATATCCCACCAAAACAAATTGAACTTTTTATTTATTTTTCTTCTTCGGTGAAGAATTTCCAACTAAAGATTAGGGTCTTTTAAATATTCTCTCCGAAACAAAATTGAATTTTAAGCAATGTAAAAAAAAAAAAAAAATACTAATTAAAGCGTTATTCAAGGTAGAACGTTTTCAGATGAATGCATTGTACAGTGTACAAAAATAAAATAAAGTAAAATAAACGTTCCACCCTTAATAACTTTTGATCTAGCAATCCAGGGTTGCTACAGGTGACTAAAATGTGACTATATGCAACTATTTTCAACCTGGGGCAACTATGGCAACTTTTTTTTCGCCTGAAAAGATTAATAAAGCAACTATTTCCAGGAAAAAGAGACTATTGGGAGACTTTTCTGAGCTTCTAATGATGTTTTTTTTATCATAAATTGGGTTGATAACCCTGAACACAATGATTTTTTTTTCTTAAAAAAATAAAAAAATTTGAAAATTTTGAATTGCAAATTTGAGTTATCACTTTTTAATGAGATCAATTTGCACAGATTCCACTGTAAGTCTATTTTGTACCTCGATAGCGGCTACCTTCGATAATTTAAGGGCAAGAAATCCGAATCAATCGAAAAAATTGCATTTTTATTCAGAGAAAGTACGTGATTAATTGATTAACATATTTGAGGTCACACCCTCGAAAAATTAAGATAGAGTCCTGGAACGGGAAGATCTGATCATTAGATCAAAAGTTATTCAGGGTGGTTCGTTTTTTGTTTTGCACACTGTACATTTTCATTGAAATTTAGCATGTCTTCTAATGAAGTTAAAGGAAAATCAAACCAAGAAAATGCTTACACAATAATTACAATATAAGTTCGTTGAGGGATAAGAGTTCGCATTCCAATGAGGTAAACAGGGTTCGAACCCCAGAGATTGCTGGTTGATACAAATTCCGCATCCGGATTGTATCGACTACAGTGCTGACATAAAATATCCTCAGTAGTTGACGGATCGTGGGTTAAAATTCCTATGCTGTCAGGCTAACCGTGAGAGGTTTTCCTCTCCATCTAACGCAAATGCGGGTTAGTTCCATCAAAAAGTTCTCCACGAAGGCAAACTTCTCCCAATACTTGATCTAGGAGTTCCCTTGTCTTCTGGGTTAGGTTCAAAATTACAAGACTACGACGTTGAACATTAGTAGTCGTAAACCCAAAAAATCGAGTCGGCTGTTCAACGACGGTTATAAAATAAAATAAAATATAGGTTCGTTAACTATCCCTTCGTGGGTGTTAACAAATCTTTTACACATTTTTAAAACATATTACACTTTTATAAAGCTGACGATTTGAGTGAAACATCTTTACTTCAATGAAAATAGTTAAGATGGAATTTAACAGATAATTTTTACATATCTGTATAAGACAAAACATTAGAGAAATTTTTAAAAAAAACATCCGAGACATTAAAAAAATGGTTTCCAACCATTAACTTAAAAAAAAAAAATTAATTTCCATATTGACGTTTTTGGGTCGTTTCCGTATAAGCTCAGAAAGTCAACGTCAAAATAAAACAACGAATCACGCCGTCAAACAAATATATTATAAAACTGCTCGAATCGCACTTTTTCTTCTTACCTTTGATTGGAGCAGATACGAAAGTATTACTTACTCGCTTAATCCACTTCTAGCTCTCACAATTTTAAATAAATTTGATCAGTACTATATTTTATTTTATAACCGTCGTTGAACAGCCGACCCAATTTTCGGGTTTACGACTACTAATGTTCAACTCCGTAGCCTTGTAATTTTGAACCCAATCCAGAAGACAAGGGAACTCCTGGATCAAGTATTGGGAGACATTTGCCTCCGTGGAGGACTTTTTAATGGGACTAACCCTCATTTGCGTTGCATGGAGGGGAAAATCACGAAAACCTCCATGGTTATCCTGACGGTAAAAGAACTCTAATCCATAATCCATCTACCACTGAGGATATTTCACGTCAGCACTGCGGCGAGCCGGATGCGGAACTCGTATCAACCAACCACAGTTGGGATTCGAACCCGGTCACCTCTCTGGAAGGCGAACGCTCTATCACCTGAGCCATCATGGGCGATCAGTACTATATGTAAAGAAATTAAACATATGTATAAGAATGCACACAGCTAATTCAATGATAGTGCTTCTCTGACTAATCGCCGATCCGCCAAACTCTCGGTAGCGTGGAGATTTAGCAGGTTCGAAACCCGCCAGAATCGTGAAACATATCTTTGTGATGCCCTTCTCTAATTTGAGTACTCTGTTCTTCATCTTGAAAAAAAACTTATAAGGCATCTTTAAAAAGCAGCCTGTTTGTATGCGTGTAACAGTATATAATTAGATTACCTACAGAATGAACAAATTAAACAATACTTGAAACCTATTGTATAACAGCTTTGATTTTTGAAATAGATTTTTTTTAAATATAAGCGGTTTTGAAACATTATGATTTAATATCTCAGTTTAACAAAGTTGATTAATAAAGATTATGATTGTGTTTGGGTAATCGTTATCATTTTTTAATCATATAAAAGAAGAGGAAAAAATAATTTTATGCAAAAAAGTTTTGTTTCTGTGGTCAAGACTTAGAAAACAAATCTTTATTAGTATCAGACTTATAAATCAGACAAACAAGTTGGCAGCTATGATGTAAATACCAGTGTGAAAGTAATTACTCTTTTATACATATTCAATTAAACACTTATAAAACAGAAACACTTATCCAGCAACCACACGGGCAGCTGACCTCACAGTGTTAAAACAAAGGATGGGATAGAGGCAGCTTCTCGGCCCAGGTGCCCAGTTCAAAAACACAACTATAACTATAAACCAGAAACAGATGTTTTTTAGAAATTTACTACACAATTAAACACTTATAAATCAGAAACACTCATCCAGCAATCACACGGACAGCTGACCTCACAGTGTTAAAACAAACTTGAAAACAACAGATGAGATAGAGGTCACTTCCCGGCCCAGGTGCCCAGCTCCAAAGCACTAATATGACTATAAACCAGAAACAGATATTTTTTAAAAGTTTACTACACAATGTATTTATTGTAACTAACCTTCCGTTTAAAATTAAAAACACTCTTATGAGCATTTTTACTTTTTATCAAAAGAGAAAATCCATTATCATTGAAATCACGAACTCTATTTGGTGATTTGCAAGGACATTAATTGGCGAGATGAGTAGGATTGGCGTTAAGGCTTCAAAAGGCGTAAAAGGAGAAAAATTCGTTCCAAAATAAGCTTTCTCATAACCTAAAGCCATGTCTGATATAAGGCAAAGCCAGAAGCGCCAATCTAATCTTTCAACCTTGGAGACTCGCTTGTCATTAGTTTTTCTAATAAGCGTGGGAATTCCATCGAATATTTTTTTTCTAAATCACATCAGAAAACAAAATCAATTCACTTAATTCTTTTAGGTTTTTGGTGCAGCATTTGTTCCACTTGCCTGTTCGGACGGCGTCCTAGACCACAAGTCCTACATCTGCCTCGCGTCCAAACAGAGGTTTCTGGTCAGCCTGACGCACCCATCTGTCTTCGCATGTATCTATAGAAGTGTCTCCGCACCAAGTACGTACGAGTGCCATGCCTTCGTATGCGCCACTGCTGAAGACGCGCTAGCAGTCGCCGGACTTGCCACCATGGCCAGTCAGCAGACTGATCTGCTAGACGTTCAGAGACAGTTGTACATGAACCAGCATCAGACCAGACGGCGGATTGCGACCTCTGTTGATTCTGGCACGGATTATTACACTCCGTCTGATGTTACCCCTGCTCCGAGAGAGGAGGAGGATCGAATTTATGGTCCCCCATTCCGAGAAAATGGCCCACTGAGGACTGATACGGAAGAGGTGAGTAACGTTTAATCTACATTCATCAAGACCCAATGATCGTTTGAAAATATACGTTTCTCAAAAAGATGTTTGCAATTATTTTGGACACACATATTACAACATTGTTTGCAATTGTTTGAAGCAATTACATATTTCATTTTTTTTATTTGATTTTATAAGCGTCGTTAAACTGCCTGCCCAATTTTTTGGTAGACGACTACTAATGTTCAACTCCGTAGACTTGCAATTTTGAACCCTATGTAGAAGACAAGGGGACTCCTGGATTAAGTATTGGGAAAAATTTGCCTTCGTGGATGACATTTTTATGGAACTGACCCGCATTTGCGTTACATGGATAATAAAACCACGCGAATCTCACACGGTTAATCTGACGGCAAAGGGATTCTAACACATCATACATCTACCAATGAGGATATTTCAAGTAAGCACTGTGGTTGGAGTAAGCCAGATGCGAATTTGTTTAGACCAGCCATCGTTGGGATTCGAACCTGGTTCATATCATTGGAAGGCGAACGATCGATCCCCTGAACCATCGCGGCGCAAGACTTCCAGTTAGGTGGATAACTTTTTGGACTGAAATTACCAAAACGAGACAATCAGTTTTTCGGATTGGAATAAATATTATAGATTCCCAGCGAGGGCACAATAATAAGATTTTAGTAACCCCGTGATGAGGGTTACATAATTTTTTAATAATTTCTGGAAATGCTTTGAAGGCCTTCATCTCCAGAAAATTTAAGTTAAGAGGCATTTTAGATACGTGTTTTAGTTATTTAAATGCGATGGTAGGCAAACTCATTTTAAATTAAATTTACAAGTCCGAGATTTAATTATTAAAACATGCTACCACTAGAAACATTTCCCCACAAAACTGAAGCAAGTTGGTATCTGCGTCATTTAAAATGCCAAGTAAGTTTTAAAATTATGAACACTTTAATCTGTACTATTTATACTCTGCCAAATGCAGGGAATCCTGTGTTTGGCACATCACGATTCAAAAAAATTTAAAGAAGTTTGTACGCATTTATATGGGTACCTTGCAGGGTGCGAAAATTATATTGACCGAAACATGTAAAATTTCAATTTATGTAAAATATCTTTGTTACTTATTACTTCTGATTTATTTACGAAAAGTGTTTAAAAAGATAAAATGCATTTAATGTAATTTCTTACGACCGAATAAATGTAAGAACATTCTTATGTTTTCATTAGTATTCAATGGAAGCAAAAATATCCGAAAATGTATTTTGCAGACTATCATATCTGACCAGGAAAAAACTTATATTACTTATATTACTTGAACTATATTATAAACTTATATTATTTGAAACGAAAACCTATATTAGGGCACTTTGTATATTATAATTCGATTGAATTTCGAAGTTATAAATGCACCTAATTAATCATTATACTTATTTGTTAATCCCGTATCATGGTTTGATTTTGTTTTTAAATTTTTCTGCCTCTAAATTTTAAGAAAATTTGTCTTAGGAAACTTGTATACGATAAATCGTAATGAACAAAATGCTCAAAAATTCATGCATGTATGATTGTATATCAACGGATTAATTATAACAAAATTAATTATTATTATTCGATTGAATCTTAAAAATATAAATGCACCTAATTAATCATTGCTTATTTGATAACCCCGCATCATGGACTGATTTTATTTTTAAATTTATCAATCTCTAAATTATTAGAAAATTTGTATTAGGAAACCTGCATCCGGTGAATTATAATAAACAAAATATTCAAAAATTCATACCTAATTAATCATTACTTATTTGGTAACCCCGTATCATGGACTGACTTTGTTTTTAAATTTTTCGACCTCTAAATTATAAGAAAAATTGTCTTAGGAAAGTTAATTATAATAAACAAAATGTTCAAAAATTCATACACATATGACGATATGTTAACGAATTAATTAATTATTATAACAAACAAGTCAAAAAAACTTTTTTTAATTTATACATAAACTAATTTCGCTTTTAAATTGGCCACATACGTTCATTTCTAAATTCCACACGTTCTCAAGGATATTTACAAAGATCAAAAAACATGCACCTGAAAAAAAGTTAATTAAAATTCAGAATTTCATTTCCTCGTGTTTCAAATCTCACAAACACGTGACGCAACCACAGCTTAACGCGTTAGCTTAGGGGTAACGTTAAAAAAAATTTTTTTTTACTTCTTTAATTGAAGTTTTTTTTTCACTTCCTTATAACACCGAGCAATGATCAAAAAAGATAGAGACTAAAACTTGTTTCGTTAATGTAAAAAAAATATTTCTCACACGCGTTTGAATATCACACTGAGATCTCATGCCAGTAAAATCATTAGTATTCACCAGATTGGATTCGTAATAGATAATAACAAACGAGAAAGTAGAGAAGGAGGTTTTAAGAGTATGATATACATGAGAGAAAATGCAAATAATGCAGTCTGAAGGTAGATCAGAAGGTCTATTGATAAATAACCCCCCTCCCCCAGTCACGGTTCCAGTGTTGTCTGGATTTTTTTTTCCGTAATGAGACACCATACAGATTATCATGCTGATGTTGTTTCAAAACATTCATTATATAGTGTATGAGATTTAAGATAAATTTCGAAGTACATTTATTGATAAATATGTGAAACTCGCTCCGTTAAAAGCTTCTGTAGATGATTGATAGAGTAAAGCTAAGGACTGATGGCGCTAAGGGTTAAAATTCGTAGTAAGAATTCCGGGTTACTAATTCCGATTGATTTTTACACCTAAGTTTGAAAAAGGGCGCCATCAAATATTATTACACTATTAGTGTAAACATTATAACGCGTTTTTTGAATTTAAATTTCAACGAAACCATCAGCAAATAAATTCGAGAGAGTTCGCAAGCATTCTGTAAGGAGAGTTGTTATCGACAATGTCAACCTTCATCTATTAAAAGGTGGCCCAACATAGAATCGAGAAAACATGTCTTATATACTAGTGAATTGCAATTGTATTTTTGTAGTGGTAGACACACTACAGTACTACCCCACCAGACTTATAGCTGTGATAGAATTCGATGAATGGGATGACACTAGTTGATTCACTGCTGTTTTGTGAAAAGCCGGAAGAGCTGTATTAAGATCACCGTACTTTTGAGTGCTCATCATAAGAACTGTATTAAGTTCACATTTGTGGTTGCTCTAGTGTTGCCATCAGCAGTCGAGTGTATATAGGCCGATGTTGTGTGTGATCGAGACTGAGTAGCAACAGTACGAGGAGTTGGACAATGTCGCAGTCACAAGTAGCAAGTCAACTGTTCAATGTAGCCCATCCATCGAAGTAGGCGTGTTCAAATCGCGGTGGGATTTTCTGTCAAGGTAGGCGTGTTCACATCACGTCTGAAGTTCACCAAAAGATAGTTGTTACAGACAATGTCAACCGTCAACTATGAAAAGATTCCCGATCATATTTATTTGTGAATTGGAATTGTATTTTTGTAGTTATAGACACACTACACATTCTATGATGCATCCCAAAAAATATCAAACCGTGATATTTTACACAAACATGGCCAAATAAGGGATAACACTCCAAACATGGCAAACTTTCCTCTTCATTTATGTTTTGATATTAATTTTCTTAAAATTGTTTAGGCTCACAGACCAGTTAGAATTGGTAAATTACGGGAAACTCTTACGAATGGTAAAATTATGCGTAAATTTGATCACAAATTACAATAATAAAACGTTTTAGAATATTAACCCGTTCTCACATCGCCTCATAAGCATTACAAAAGAGGAGGGATACACACCGGAACACAGAACTGTCCTTTTTGACCAAAATTTGCCGAAATGAGGAGAGGAACTTCTTTTTTAACTGAAATACCAGCATTTCGGATACCAATTTTCAGCATTGCAATTTTTATATTGTGATGTTTTTTGTAATTTGTAATTACAGTGGTACTGAAAAAAAAAGCTTTTAATTTCCTTATTTTAGTGAATAAAAATTTAGCATGGGTAAAAAGGACACTATTTCTAAAAACCTGATCTTTCAAATTGTGGCATGTAAACTGTTATCTGCTAGAATATTTTATTCTAAAAAAAACATTCCTACTCAGATATATTTAATGTAAATTTACTACCACTATTAAGATTTGGTTCATGGCGGTGGGAATCCTGTACAAATATTTGGTATAAAACTGTTGAACAAGCATTAAGTTAATGTCCGCAGGACAAATTTAACCTCTTCAGACCAACAATGGCAACGTCCCAAGTACGGATCGTAACGCGGTAGCTAATTTTTGAAAAATATGTATACTTTGAAATATTTATAATTACTAAATATATTTTCATTTCGTTTATCGCGTGTTGTGTAAACTTCAGAAATCACTTTTTGAAGCCAAATTGAAAATAAGGCGAACCCTCTGTCCAATGAGCCGCGATGGCTCAGGGGATAGAACGCTCGCCTTCCAATGAGGCGAACCGGGCTCGAATCCCAGTCCGCATCCGGCTTCCACCGACCACAGTGCTGACGTGAAATATCCTCAGTGGACGAGAATNCTCGACTTCGTGCCCAGGTCGTCGGGCTATCAAAGCAATGGGGCCATCCTCTCTGCAGAATATCAAAATTGCGATGGCATGTCTTCAGATCATCCTCAGGGATGTTTCCCAGACCGTCGTCAATAGTCCATTGTGCAGCTTTAGTGTGACGTAAATAAAGTGCGTTTCTACCTTTAGAATTTTATTTAAGTTTTTATTAGGTTTATATACTAATTATATAAACTCTGATAAGAGTCAGCTTACCTTCATTTTTTCAATAACAATAAGAAAAATACTTTTACTCCAAACAAATTATGTTGGCAGGGGCTCTTCCGGAAAAAAAATGTATAAAAATGTAGAGCACCTAGAATAATACCCAAAAAACATTTTTTTGTGAATAATAACTATTAATTCTATAAACAAGCGAACCCGTGTCTAACTCTGAATACAAAATAAGAAGACAAACGGACAATAAGGAGATC